AGATTTATTAATTCGATCTTCTGCAGGGTGTTTTAAGTCGAGCCGTGAACTGGAGAGAACTGGAAAAGCAGTATGCAGCTCACACAGTCTACGAGCAAGAAATCATCAGTATGCTGGAGTATTGTGGGGTAAGTATGTTATTCTGCTGTAGTTTAGCTTGTGGACACCACAAAAGATCACAGAGGAAGATATGAGTGGTTCCTTGCATTATGCATCACATGACTGATGTTGAATGTGCAACATTTTTGACTAATCGCTCACTGGCACACCCCTGATTTTCAGACAGACTCTTTCCGGATGGGCCAGGAATTCGTAAAAAATGCCCCAGGCAGCTTCGACAGTCTCTCAGACCTGGATCTCGGCCATGAGCTTCTTGACCTCCACTCGCCAGAGAGGAACCAGCAGATGGGGCAACGCTCCTCGTGTTCTCAGCCCGGGACTGGAGGTCACGCGTCAGACTCAGCCCTGCTGATGGGGCGAAGAGAGAGAGATGGACTAGATCAGATGCTATCCGCTGTGAGCAGCAGCGGGCCTCATTTGGACATGCTACACGCTAAGAACATCACCTACGGGACCGGCCAGCGGCAGTCGCTGCAGCGGGAGTCTTTCTGCTTCATGAAGGGAGTGATGGACGAATGCACACACATTGCCAATTTTTCAGGTACTACATCTGATTTGTTTTGCACATGGTTCGGCTTGTGTTCCTGGGTTTGATCCTGTTTCTTTTTTGCATGCTTTGTCTCCAGTGCCTGTGGATCCCAGTCTGATCATTATAGTCCAGGCAAAGGAAGACGCTTATATTCCCCGCACTGGAGTACGCAGCTTAAAGGAGATCTGGCCTGGCTGTGAGGTTCGCTACCTCAATGGAGGTCACATCAGCGCCTACCTTTTCAAACAAAGGCTGTTTCGGTAAGCACAGTCAAATTTTAGAAAGAGTTTAAATAGTTTACTTAAAACCTGTATGACTTTATTGGTAACACTTGACAATAAGGTTCATTTAGTTATCGTTAATTAAAGTATTTGCTAACATGAGCTAACAATGAGCAATACATTTGTTACAGTATTTAATAATCTTTTTACAAATACAACAGCACTTTAGTAAATGTTGAAATGAATATTAACTAAGATTAATAAATGCTGAAGAAGTATTGTTCATGTTAACTAATGAAGCTTATTGTAAAGTGTTCCCTCAATCTGTTCGATCTGCCAAATCCTTAAAGGGGTAGTTCACTTTTAAAAAAACTTTTGCTTTTGCTGATAATTTACTCACCCCCATGTCATTCAAGATGTCCATGTCATTCTTTCTTCAGTCGAAAAGAAATTAAAGTTTTTGATGAAAACATTCCAGGATTTTTCTCCACATAATGGACTTCAATGGAAACCAAACGGTTCAAGGTCCAAAAGACGGTTTCAGTGCAAACTGTTCAAAGGGCTTTAAACGATTCCAGACAATGAATAAGGGTCTTATCAAGCGAAACGATCACTCATTTAAAAAAAAAAAAATAACAAAGTTTAAGTTTTATAAACTCAATGGTCGCCTTGCTCTGTTCTGTGATACGCGTTCGTGACTTTCCTATTCGAACTCGTTCATTTCGTTCGTTGAATGAAACAAATGACACTAAGAAAGATTTGTTCATTTTGATAAACGAGTTCGAACAGAACAGAACTTAAACTTAAACTAACTAAAAAAAAAACTGTTACAATAAAGCAAAATTGTTCAAGCTTCAAAAAATCATGGATTATTTAGTCAGTTAATGAAAAACATTTAGAGTGGTTTTATAAACTACATCAATTCATTGAAAAAGTCCAATTCAAAGGAATGATTCGTTCACAAATCCCAGCTTCTCTTATGAACGTAGTTAGTGTGGAAGTCAAGATTATTAGTGAATAACAACAGGTTTCTCACAAGATTTTTTTTAATTATGGTTTCCTTAAAAATATTAAGCAGTACAACTGTTTTCAACATTAATTAAAATAACAAATGTAATAATGCAGCTATGGTGAGCATAAAACATTTGAACACAAACAATAATTCACTGTTTTTTTTTTCAGTAAATTATTTCTTTAATAGCGTTAATGTTAATTATGTGGTTAAACTGTAGAATATTGCTCATAATCATGTGAATTAACCATATGTCCAATAATTTTCAAAACATGCATTAACTTTTGAATTTTTTGCTTGATTGTTGACTTCCAGGCAAGCTATTTACGACGCCTACGACCGATTTCTTCACAAGTATTCCAGCTTATAGCCATGGATTTTTTGGGACTCAGCACTGACAAGAATTTTGAAAGTATGTGGAGTGGAGAGGGAGAGCACTGAATGTGATGTGTGATTTGTACAGAAGACTATGTAACTGCGGTTGTAGTGACAGAACTGTGTTACTCTATGTGGTACACCTCAAAACTCACAGTGAACTGAAGCTATCTTACATGTGCTCAATCCATACAAAACCTTGTCTTCCTGACCTCTCTGCCTTTAAAGGGATAGTTCACTTTGAAATTCATTTTTGATATGTTTTAGCTTACCTCAAAGTCATCCAAGATGCAGGTGTCTTCGTTTCCACAGTAGTTTCAATTTTGATATTTTTAGGTCAAACCGTTCTTGTCTGTCAGTCATATAATGCAGGTCTATGGTCACCACCTCAAAGAGCATGCACAGAGAAGTCCAAATTAAACATGATTTAATGACTTGTAAATGTAAGTACACATTGATGGCCTAAGACATGAAACGAGCGGTTTGTGTGAGAAAACGAACAGTATTTATATCGTTTTTACCTCTTGTAATCACAGTCACGTCCAAGTACTCTGAGGGCGAGGGCGCTTCTGTCTGCGCAAGCGCGCCGGATGTGATCTTTCACGTGTGTACGTCACTCATTGTTTACACAGAGATTTCGGAAGTGTTACCCTTCACTGTGAAGATCTAAACATATTTAGATATACAGGAAATCGCAAAGGAAGACGATTTCGATATATCAACGTGGCTGTGGTTACAACTAAGAGGTAAAACAATATAAATACTGTTCGTTTTCTCACACAAACCGCACGTTTCGTGTCTTAGGCCATCAATGTATACTTACATATACGAGTTATTAAATCATGTGTTATTTGGACTTCTCTATGCATGCTCTTTGAGGTGGTGACCATAGACCTCCATTATATGACTGACAGACAAGAACGGTTTGACCTAAAATATCAAAATTGAAAATACTGTGGAAACAAAGACACCTACATCTTGGATGACCTTGAGGTAAGCTAAAACATATCAAAAATTAATTTCAAAGTCAACTATCCCTTTAATCATCGTATTATAATCATGACTGAAACCTTATTCACCAACCTAGACAAATATGTGCCTCCGAGCTATAATTCACTCATACATCAAGGTGTCTTTAAATCTCTTAATGAAGCAGATTTCTGAAAATATAGCATTTTGAATTGTAAGGGAAATAAATATACTTTTGACAATCTATATTTTTGTTTCACCAACATAGAATATCATAATTTGCAGAGCCAATGTTTGCCTGTTTTTAGGAAATAATGCATCAAGAAAATGGCCTTGAAATGGGCAGATCATTGTTTTAATCTCAGATAGGAAAAACAATTAACAAATTCAGATGAGTTGTACTTTAACAGATCTTTAGCAATGACTGGGGCTCATTTGAGGATTCAAAATACACTCTTTTTGTGTTAAAAATCAGTGTTTCAAATTTCAAAAAACTCTTAAATCCTACAGTAATCACTGCCAATTGCTACAGTAACAACTAACAATTGTAGTTTCAATAAATTTAATTGTTTTATATATCACTACTATCACTTGATCTGACCTGCCATGTGTTCACTATTCACTTCATCATGAGCCACTTGTGGAATTTCATTTGTTTCTCCCCTCTATAATAAAAAAGGAAATCCTAAATATTGAAGTGTCATTTTTTTCCCCTTTAAAATGAAACTTATAAACTAACTGCTAAAATAACAGTGAAATATTATAATGACAATATTTGAGTCGGAGACCAAACAAGTACACTAAGATATTGAAGTCAACATTTTGCCTAGTAGTAGAGATTCTCAACACTGGTTAACAAAATAGAGAAATTAAGTTTTGTTTTTTTAAACAACTTTACATTTGCAGAACTACAGGAGATACAACATGAGGACATTTAATGTTTGACAAAGGGAGATAAAATGTGTGAACATGCAGTACATCTTTATAAACAGACTTAATAAAATCTATATTAATACATATTATAAATAAAGTATGAAAAACAATGTTTTATCTATTGTCATACAACCCATAATTAACAACTAGAGAAATAAGAAATGGAAGCTGAATTAAGTAAAAGTTTGATTATCTGAGTGAATTAGATGTATGACAGGGTAAAGCAACATGCATGTACAGTCAAGTTTTTGTGAGTTTTTTTTTATTTATTTTTTTAAAAACAGATAAAGTTTTGTACGATACAATGTAAAAAGTTGCGGACTTAAATTTTTAAGTACAATCAATTTGGATGTTTTAAGTCATTCCAACTTAAATATTATTAAACTGACTTAAAGGGATAGTTCCCTTTTAAATGAAATTTGTCATCATTTACTCACCCTCAAGTTGTTTCAAACCTGTATGAATTTATTTCTTCTGCTGAACACAAAGGAAGATATTTTGAAGAATGATTGGAACCAAACAGTAAACAGGAGCCATTGACTTCCATAGTAGGAAAAAAAAATACTATGGAACTTTGTCAATGGCTCCAGTTGACGGTTTGGTTACTGACATTCTTCAAAATATCTTCATTTGTTTTTCAGCAGAAGAAATAAATTCATACAAGTTTGAAACAACTTGAGGGTGAGTAAATGATGACAGAATATATATATATATATATATATATATATATATATGTGTGTGTGTGTGTGTGTGTGTGTGTGTGTGTGTGTGTGTGTTTGTGTGTGTTTGTATAAGGATATTTTGTTACTGGCGTTACTCTCATCAAGGAAAACATTTGCATGTACGTATTAAAGCTGCACGTGATTACTATGTTGATATTTCTCCTCCTATCCTGCACTACTGTAGTTTGACTTACTGTACTCTGTCATCTGGAAATCTTGCCCTCATTAAACATGGAGTCCTCGGTTTTCCCCTTCCTTACTGAAGCCGTTTGCCATCAGTACGTGTGACCCCTGAACCTGCTCGAGTGTGTGTGTGAGTGTGTGTGTGTGTGTGTGTGTGCGCCAGTCCTCCGCCATATTCACTGTTGTCTTGCCTTGAGAAAGAACAGGGAGCATTCGAGACTGCCCATAAGAACCGAAACTGTGTTTATATACCGAGCCTGGAGACCAGCCGACGGGCATAATACGGGCTAAAGCGATGGCGAGGAAAAAAAGCAAGCAGCAGGGCGTCGGGGCCAAGGATTTAGTGTCGGAGCAGCAGCAGCAGAGCCTGTCGAAGAAGCCCGGCGATGCGGGAGCAGAAGCGGCGGCGGCGACAGCAGGCGAAGGCGCTGGTGCTGGAGGAGATGCAGGAGCGAGCAGGACCAATCAGGTAACTGTTAGCTAATGCTAACACGTCCATCCAACTGCACACCTCCTCGAGCCGGTTCTCGCTGTTAGAGACTTGGTTTTGTAAACTATTTTTACGGGCGCTTTATTTAGGACTCTATTGCACGTGCAGTTATTTGTGTTTTCGCGCTTATTTTGCGTTTTGTAGCGCCTGATTAGCGCTGTCCGATTCATGAACGACTTGTTCTTTGGAGTCGGATCTTTAATGATTTGGTCGAACCGATTCGTAAAATTGGTCTGAACGATTTGTTCACGAATCGGACGGAATCGGTCAGAACCATAGACTGTAAATAATGGAATCTGTCAGAACAGTTCTCGGACCAAAATATCTGACTGACAGCCGTTTTCAGAAACGTACGCTTTGTATATTGAGCTAAAGCCGGTAAGTAATGTGTTAGTAAGAGCATTTTGAGTGATGTGGTGAAAAAGTATATTATATTAATAGCCCATAACAGAAATTTTATAAAATCGTAATGACAATGTTAATGATTTGATTAAATGACAGTACTTTATTTTATGTTAATAAAAAGCGTTTTATTAAAAAACAGCATTTTAAATAGACAATGCAATGTAAATATTATTATTGTTTAATGTAAATTATAATTAAACGTTCTTCTAAAATTAATTTGCTTTAATGAACCGAATCATGTCTAAAACAAACTGAGCTAGGAGCCTGAATTACACTTTTATAAAATGTATAATAAAACAGAACATTTAACCTAATAAACAATAATTTGTGCAGTTTGAATATAATATGCCACGCCAAGGTTGACCACATGTCTGGCGTGATTACTTCCCGACGTAAAATAATACCTGAATCTGTTTTGGAACCGGTTCTTCGAAACGAACTGTTCGAAAGAATCGTTGCTCGGAAATGAGTCGGATTTCCCATCACTACGCTTGTTCTCGCGCTGCACGGGCGGAGCAGCACTAGCTTGCTCGCTACCTATGTAACGATATAAATAAATAAATGTGTTGCCTTCACGGCGTTTTTATAGCCCCAAGCAGTGAGGTACATTACATCTGAATGTTTTATACGACACTGGTTGTTCAGATATAACGTTAGCTGGTTCAAGAAAGCTAAACGAAAGTCCGTGAAGCACAAAGCTAACAGTGTGTTGCTGTCGTCTATAATGCTGTGGCTGGCTACTAAATTATTTCTGTATAGCTCAGGCTTAAACGGCGCTACTAACCCAGCCACAATCTCACTTTATGGGGTGACACAATCAACGTTACTATGTGTTACTTTGTGCATTAAAAGGCTTCAGTGGCATATTTGTGTCAATGGTTGCCATATTGCCATACGATTACATTTTAGGTTTACCAACCTGCTAATATCTGCAACACTCTAAATGTTACACTTCCAATGCACAAAAACGTTAATAAAGGAAAAATGTTTGAGCTTATGCATTTAACAATTGGTTTGTCGTGATTATAGTGTGTACAGTGGATTCTGAATGTGTGGTATTTGTTTTGGTGGGTTACAGCAGTCTTGCTAAACGCTTTTAAATTTCTGAAATAGTTGAAACAGTAAAAAATAATAATAATAACCCAGATATTTCTAATGTAGTTTATTTACACAGGTCTGGTTTACAATTTAACAACTTATTCGCAAAGAATCATTCATTAATTATTGAGTTACTGCTATAAAAAAGCTTTTCTACTGACCAGTCTGTCATTGAATTGACAGACAGCGTTTTTGTCTGAATATTTTTAATAAACTGCTTTCTTCCAAAACACTACAACATTATCTCTAATGATCTAGAACAAATTAAAATGAGCTTTAGACATAACCAAGCAAATATTTAATGTCTGTAGAGACAGTGGTTATTTCCTTCGTCATATTATCGTTTATGAACCCATTTAATTTGATTTTACTCCATTGGATGCCTAATTTAATTTTTCTACCGTCTACTGAACAACTTGCACAGGATTGTGGGATATCTACGGTTCCCATGGTCATGAAATAAATACCTGGACAAATCAGGGAATACGGGATTTTCAGGCATGAAAAATTCATAGATATTTTAGTGAATACAATTTATTGGTTTTTGCTAACTCATTTGCTCTGATCACACAGTCCATGCATACATGCTGCTTGCTGTGCCATCGGGAGTTTAAAGACTGGGGGGCAGGCCAGGTGAATGGGCTCCCCAGTCACGGGTCCAAACTGGCAGAGGCTGTGCCCGCGCTGTCCCAGGCCCTGCTTAGGGAGGTTCCGGGCCGCAAGCTGGCAGACGCCGTGCCTTCGCTCTCTCAGTCGCTGTTGGGTGAGGTGCCGTTGTGGATCTGCCAGAGCTGCAGGAAGAGTGTGGAAGAGGAGGAGAGGAGAACGCTTCAGGAGCAAACTACGCAGGTTATTGAGACAGAATAATATTGCATATACATACATATATATATATATATGAGATGGATGGGTTAATTCATATTTATCTTAAAGGGATAGTTCACCCAAAAATGAGAATTCTGTCAGTATTTACTCACCCTCATGTTGTTTCAACCCCATAAGACCTTCGTTCATCTTCGGAACACAAATTAAGATATTTTTCATGAAATCTGAGAGCTGGATCACTCCTCAATACTAGTCCATAGGCTTCTTGAGGGATTGAAACTTGCCGGCCCCGAAAAGTTATTCAAGTGACTTCAGTGGCTCATTTTTGGGTGAACTAATCCTTTAACTATGAGCATGTCTACGTTTTTGTAAGAAGCAATAATTTATACTTCCGAATATAGAATAAAAAAAATAATAATTGGGCTCTAGACATCATTGCATTAAATACAAAACATCAAACCAAGTGGTAAACAAATCACACTAAAGCCTTTTTGAAAACTAACTTCACTGTTCTGAACTATTCTTGTTCATTTTAATCAATGAAGTCTGTTCCTTTTAGGTTCACACACGTTTAACAAATATTTGACATCCAGAAAGTCATTTCGTCATTTCATACCTAACAAACTTTTTTTGTTTTGTTTGGTATGACAAACAAAGTGCTATCTTCCTTAAAAGAAAATACATTTAAAATGCAATTACATAAATAAATGTAAAAAAGGTAACACAGATAATAAAATAACAAAGTGTTTTATTTATTTTTTTAATGCAGTGGTGTTCATATAGTACGTGTGTTAAGTGTCCAAATCCTTTTTTTGGCATAGAGGTGTAAGTTGGTACTGTATCAAGTGGTCCTTTTTGTCTGGTTTATTTTTATTGGAAGATTGTACTACTAGATGATTGTTCATAAAGATTTGAGGATGTTAAGTTTGCTTCTATACTTTGATTGCACGAAGAACAGTAGTTATGTTTTCATGAATTTAACTTAAATGCGCCAAATTGGAATATCGGCTAAAACGTTAAAAACTAAACGCTATCGGCTAAAACGCTAAAAATGAAGCTGCATTTCCATCGCATGTGTTCAAGAGAACAAAATCATCACTTCCTGGGATATTGTCACAAAATATCTGTAATAAAAATGGAGGTTGCTGCAATGGAGGCTTTTTTTTTTCCTACATCATAAATGACTTGCGTCTCAGAATGCGCAGATGAAACACAATTAATGCCGTCATGCTATCTTGCGTTCGGATGCCTGGTGTTTGGGAACGCAATCATGCGAGACACTACTGGAGGGTCATTATACCAAAGCATTCTGATGACAGACTTTTGCTCAGGCATTTCAGAATGATAAATTGGAGATGCAGTGCCTGTGCGATGAAATTGATCGACTGGTTAGTCCAGTAATCTAATCTCATCCACTGTTGACACAAACTCGCACAACTTTTTTTGTTGCGCATCGGGGGATTTATTGGTAAAACGTGTTTCTGTCATAGTTTATGTGCTTGTCTCTTTATAGGATGCCTCTGTCCCACAATGTATCCGCCTCAATTGAGCGTGATTTTTAGAATTTAAGCACATCTTGCCATTTCCACCCAGCGTTTTTTCTATGTAACATCCCAAAATGCGGATAAAAATAGGTGGATGGAAACATACCTAGTGTGACCAAAACCATTCCTTCTTTAGACAGGAAAGCTCAGCAGGTCATTGACGACAATCCTGTGTACATAACACAGTCTGATAGGGCTCGCATGTCTACTGAAACATAATTTCCCTAAAGATCCCTAAAAGATTTTACAGACTCACATTTTGCTTTCTGTCACTTGTCTAAAAGATGGATGTGTCGTTATCCAGGTGCCGCTGTCCCACTCGTCCTCATGTAAGTCTCAGAGCTGTGGGAATGGTTATCCGGAGCATAGCTCGGTGGATTGGGACCCCAGCTCCTTCCTCTCCGCGCGCAAACTGTCTGGCCTTTGGAATTCGGCTCATTCTAATGGAGGGTCTCACTGCAACCACAGCACACCTGCACTTTCACAGGGTACGGCTTCCTGCTCTTTTACGTCATTACATGGCACTTTTGAACACTTGATTCTGATTGGTCAAATGTAGTATTGTGTGTTCTGATTTTTTTTTTTGTATAATGCCCACTGAATAGGCAGCCCTTTTTCTACATAACTGTGCAAGTTTCATGTTTCATATCACTCCATAATTCAATTTTTATTCTCAGACGATAAACTCAAATCAATATGTCATGCTCATTAATTGATTTATTTGGTACTTAGCTGTGTAACAAGCAGGATAATGTACAGTCAGATAGGCATAGTGACAAAATAAACCATTTAAAGGGATACTCCCCTTTTTTGGAAATAGGCTCATTTTACAACTCCCCCAGATTTAAACAGTTGAGTTTTACCGTTTTCGAATCCATTCAGCAGATTTTCTGATATTTAGAAGAATATCAGTAAACAGAAAGTTTCTGGTCTCATTGACTACCATAGTATATTTTTTTCCTACTATGGAAGTCAATGAGACCAGAAACTGTGTGGTTACTGATATTCTTCAAAATAAAATAAAAAATCAGCTTAATGGATTTGAAAACGGTAAAACTCAACTGTTTAACTCTGGGAGGAGTGGTAAAATGAGCCTATTTCCCAAAAAAGTGGAGTATCCCTTTAAGACCTGATCAAATTTTGTGTAGTCTGTGGAGTTGTTTTCTTAAATGTGTTATATTATGCTTTTTCACTTTAGTTAGTGTGATGTTGCTGTTTTAGCATAAAAAAGGGATCTGCAAGGTTACAAAAGCTCCAAGGATACAAAATCTACTCCAAATGGAGATATTTTATTTGACAGATTCCCCCTTTCAAGAACTAAAACGAACGGCTCAACGTGTTTTTTTCCAGCGGACTAGGCTTGGCTGAGCTGCTGCTATGTAGCCTGCATTGTACTCTCTTAGTTTCTGGAAGCTGTTCTCCGTAAAATGTGCAGCACACAGATAGAACATTGGGATTTTAATGTTCAGGAACAGTGTTTCAAGTTTTAACCAATCTAAGTTCGTCAGGCATAGGAAGGTCAAACAAATGAGTTGAGGAAAAAACTTGTCTCTTGGACAACGCACAAAAGCTTCTCCTGATATTGAACAGTTCCCTCTTTGTTGGGACAATCTGTTGGTTGTGGATCATAACTTGTAAGTATGTCTTTCAGTCGGTCATGTTTAACGTTATGTCGATGTCACCGACCTATTGGGATCTTGCCTGAGAGCCCAATCACCTTCGAGCGTAAACTAAACAAGCCAATGAAATTTGCATATTGCGCTCCGCCCCGCAGCGCGAGTATATATAAGGAAGCTGATGCAATGCACATTTGCTTTGTGCAGAGGAGCTGAGCCAGTAAGCACAGCAATTGTGGCAAGGGGACGTAACGTCTCTGTTCCCTCCTTCTGGGAACGAGGGTTACGTACGTAACCGAGACGTTTTCTATTAACAGTTCCAATTATCAGTTTTATGTTGTTGCTACGCTCGCCTGTTAGCCAGCATTCGTGTTGATATAGTGTTTACTATAGCTTTTGACATGGTTATAACCATAACATGGTTTTCTGATCGATTACTGTTTCTATTCCCATACGTTTTTCTGACAAATGTTATGATTAAATCGTGTAACATCGTATCTACATTTACATTTTACATTTAGTCATTTAGCAGGCGCTTTTATCCAAAACGACTTACAACTGAGGACTGAACCAAGCAACTCATCGTTAAGAGGCAAAAACAACGCATTAAATGCTCAAGATACAATGTATTTAAAATGTATAAAAAAATTACAACAACAAAAAACGTACCACTCTGAAACGTCCTGTGAAATCCGCCTGTGCATGAAATCCGTTCTGGGCGATCCTCTTGTTTGTTAACATTCTTAAAGGGTAACTAAACCCCTGGTCAGAGCCTGACTCCACCCACTAGCAATATTTGAAAAATGCTGAAAAAATGGGCAGACCCCAGCGGGGCTAGGGGGCGTGCACCTGAGACCCGCCGTGAGTGAGAGCTGCTGTCAGACTCTAAAATAGAGCGAGACTGGTCTGGAGTGACTCAAGTAGCTGCCTTTGCAACAGAGCGGCCATTTGAAGTCGAGGACTTTTCTCCCTCACCTTCACTCACCTGAAGTGGATGAGGGTGAATTGTATGTATACACAGGGCCAAATCCATTCGAGCTGCTGGCTCAAACTGCGGTCTTAACTCCCGCATCGCGACCGGCATCTGATGAGTTATGTCGTTGAGTTGATCTCAATAGCGCACGGTGGCATATATTCATATTGATATTATGCCGCTATATGAAAAAATCCAGCAAAATGCACCGGCTCGTTTGTCGACCCCAGAGGATTAACTTTATCCTAACCATAAATTGTGATTAAAATATCCATGATCACTCACATCAAGACGCCGCTGCGGTGGAGGAGTCCATGCAGGACGAGCAGTGTTTGGCACTGCGTGTGGAGAAGCCCATGTCCACCTCTATTCCGTTACTATCCTGATCACTGTACTAAACACTGATAAATCTATGCTAATTTGAAGCTATCCTAACTGTACTATGCTACTAGCTACACAAAATAATCTAAATTATCTATATAATGCTATGCTAAATAGATGCAACAATACTCTATCCTGGTCGTTTTCAAAAATAATCTAAATAACTATATAAATGCTATGCTAACTAGATGCTATTATATGCTATCCTGATCGTTTTCAATACTCATAAATCCAACTCCTGACTCGCTACAGTAGTTTTGACGGAACCAGATGCTTTTATACCAGGGGCTGCCAAGGGCGTGGTGAGCTCGCACCAAGGGTGTGACAGAGTGCGTCTGAGAGTTCGCTACGTCAGCAAGTACCCCTACTGCAGGAGCTTTCCGTTTAACCTGAAGAGGGCAGCACTCAGACGTTTTTACACCATATATTTGAAAATCAAAACACTTTATACTCAATTGTCAAAAAATGTACTCGAATCAATGAACAGCATTTATGAAGCTCCATTCTTACAGATCATTAACTAAAAAAAGTTGTTTTGGTGTTTAGTTACCCTTTAAGTCTGAAATAGATTTGAATTGGTTTGAAATTGAGTAGAGCTCGTGGTTATGAAGGGGCGTGACATTTCCTGAACACAAAACACACCGTGCCGTGCCAATCATTGCACACTGGGTCAGCTAACCAATCACTGGACAATTCGCATTTCTGAAGGAGGGGCTTCATGGAAACCAGAACTAAATGACGCGTTTGGGCAAGACTGCAGAGAGTGGAGCTGTACTAATGAAAAAAACAAAATAAAATCTTCATAAAAGGGCATATTATGACCCCTTTAAGTATTAAATAGAATTTGGCTGTAGAAATAAGACTGATTATGTTATTTCTTGTCCTGGTAGGTGGGACGTTGGTACCAGCGTGCCATGAGAAGAGATCTTCTCATGATGCACCCGGGAAGGCTGCCAAAACATTCGGGACTAAAGTCTGTCCCTACAGTCATCCCTCATCCCAGAATTCCAATGCAACTTCTCCTGGGACACTGTCTGCCTCCACTGATCTATGTAAGACCAACCCCAAGCACTTCAAGACAATGTGTCGACGACCAACTCCTCCAGGTGAGAACACAATTTATTTGTTCATTTATACTTCTAGGTTAATATTCATTTATAAATATGCTATTGTTAATTCATGTGCATTCATAATACATTAATGTTAATTGACTTGTAATGGTAAGAATCTTTCACAAAGTTGGGGTCGGTAAGAGTTTTTAATATATTTGAAAGAATTATCTTATGGTCACAAAGGCTGCATTGATTTGATCAATAATACTGTAATATTGGGAAATATTTTTACAATTTAAAATAACTGAGAATGTAATTCCTGTCATGATACTTACTTCAGTCCTCAGTGTCACATGGTCCTTCAGAAATCACTCTAATATGCTGATTTGAGAAGCATTTTTAATTATTATCAGTATTGAAAACCATTGTGCTGCTTAATATTTTTGTGAAAAATGGTAATACTTTTTATTCAGGAATATTTGATGATTACAAAGTTCAAAAGAGCAGCATTTATTTTAAAATAGAAATCTTTTGTAACATTATAAATGGCTTTACTGCCACGTTTGAGCAATTAAGTATGTCCTTGCTGATTAAAATTATTCATGTCTTTTAAAAACAAACAAACTTATGGACCCTAAACATTTGAATGGTATTGTATGTAGAATTTAACATTAGCCATGATCAATAAAGCCTGTAAAAGTATTGTTCACTGTTAATTCATGATACCTAATGCATTAACTAACTGAGTGTGACTAGAATGTCATTTACCACTTTGTTTAGGTGTATTTTATGTGGAATCTGGTAATATCCGATTTTATTTTTTATCCCAATGGTTCTATTGACGACATTGTGTTTAGGGATAGAAGATAGATTGCAGGTCGAAGTGCTTGTTCTAATTTTAGCACAGTGTTGCAGTAGAAAGACTAAAAGGGATTGTATCAATGCACTTCAGATTTAATGTACACACTTAATATTTGAATACATTTTAATTTATATTCTTTCACCATTTGCTTTTTTAGCTGTCCATATTGCATCGCATTATGTAATGGGTGCGAGCCGCAAAGGTTTCAAATTTACACCATTTCCTAACCAAACTCGACGTGACAAAAAAAGTGTCAGACATCACTGCAAAGTGTCACAATCACATCCAATCAGATCATTTCGATATTTGATAAACCGTTATGTACGGTGGGATTATGAACCAATGAAGTTTCACAAAAAATAGAAACCAAGCCACCGAGAAAGTGTCCCGTTGCTTGTTGCGGTCACTCTAATTAACGTGGAAGAGTTGATTTATCACTTGCATCTGGATGCAAATTAATTGCACATCCCCTAAAGACAACTAAATGTGTTTCTCTCCAGGTGAAGCGTTCCACCCAAACGATCATCACCAAGCTGCAGACCTGTCAGTGCCGCCCAACAGTCCAACGGGTCTCTCCTCCCAGCATTCCTCGCTGCTGCCTCCCAAACAAAACTCCAGTCAGCATGTTCACGTCAACTCCGCTAGTCCGGGGCTGCCTTCGCATCCTCCTTTCTCTTCGTTGGTACCAAACATTCACTCTCCCACAGCCAAGCACTCGAGTGGGGCGGACAGTCCGGTGGCCCTGCACAAGCCCAACGCCTGCAAGAATTCCCACATTCCCGCTGTTAACACGCAACACGGCAAACTCGGCAACTCACTCATAGGCTGCAATCACCCCTGCAACGGACACAGTAACGGCAGCCCTGTAGCCTCTTCCAATGCTGGCCATCTGACGTCTGGGGCATGCAGGTGAGCATGGGTTGATTTCATTACTTAACATCTCTGTATGTTAACTGGTATGGCTTTGTTGAAAATATCGATTTATTCATTCCCATTCACTTTAATCGATTCTATTCTTAAATCCCAGGAATCGATATTTTAGTCTATGCTCTTTTTTTATCGATGCATAAACAAAACTTTACTTAAGGAGAACTCCGGTGCAAAATGAACCATTGGTCTAATTACACATTGGTACCTAGTCGACCGTTCTCTGAGATTTGTTTTCATGATAATTTAATGTAAAGAGTTTTATCTCTAAATAAGTAAAAAGAAATCGCTAGTTTATACCACTAAAAAGCCTCAAAATAGCCCCACACTAACACAGTAACATAATGAGGGTCCCTACATGCAAAACGAAGCATTGAGAACTTTGTAAGTGTACAGACTGTTTAATAAGAAGATATTCTATAAAGACAGTCTACTTCGTGTATACAGACAGGAGCCATCTTTGGAAAACAGTCTCGACTAGTCGAACCACGAACGCCGTGCTAAGTGAGCGAATTTCTGAACTGTATGAATGGCGTTCGTGGTTTGACTTGTCGAGACTGTTTTCCAAAGATGGCGCCGCCTGTATACACGAAGTGGACTGTCTTTATAAAATATCTTCTTATTAAATGGTCTGTACACTTACAAAGTTGGTATTAACTTTAGTGGTATTAAGAAGTGATTTGTTTTTACTTATTAAATGCCCCCATATACTAGCATGTACGCTAAACAGGTTTTAGAGATAAAACTCTTTACATTCGATTTATCATGAAAAAAAATCTCAGAGAACGGTCGACTAGGTACCAATGTGTAATTAGACCAAAGGTTAATTTTGCCTTTAACATTATTTGTAGTGCGCCTCCCATCCAATAAATCGCAATAAACGTAGTGCTTTGTTATGATATGAAACAAAGTCGCAGCATTAGAGTCTGTCAATGTTGTTTTGAAAAAAAACATTGGGTCTCCCATGTATAGCCACTGACTTACTGATCATCTCTTCCTCTTAACTATTAGTTATATCATGAAATAAACATGAATGAACATCAGAAGGTACTGTATGTTGAAAGATACAGTACAACACAATCTGTGTTTTGAACCACAGAAAGACGTCGTTGAAATTTCACCTGTCGTCACATTTACCTCAGAAAAGCCATTCATTGGCTACAGTTCGATTGTTAGCTTGAAAAATTAACCCTAGAGAGGAGCATATGCACCATATGACATATTCCTTGAATTTTACTTAACCTGTTCTTCAATATATAATGTGTTTAAATCAATTAATCATTAAAACTACTTTTTAATTATCTCTCTCTCTCTATAAATTGTTATTATAGCAAATTTAAATGTTTGTGACCCTAATCAGTTGTTAGTTTGAATCCTTAATATTACAGTTATTGTACCACTGACTGGGTTCCCTGTATAGTTTACAGCTTTATTTGAGAGGTATTTTTATTTTCCTTGAAAATAATTGACCTGATATACAGTATATCCATTCCAGATGAATCTATATCAAATCAAATGAAACCGAATCACAAGCTTGTGAATTGAAGACAATTTGTGTCTCAAGTTGTGTTGTTCTGTTTGAGCAGGGACCAGGCATGTAAAGGGCACAAGTTGCCCAATGGGTCGTTGTGTCACGCTCCGCCCTGTGAGCTTGAAGAAGGAGATGATGAGGACAGCAGCTCGGAGCGGAGCTCCTGTGCGTCCTCTTCCAACAATCAGAAGGACGGGAAATACTGTGACTGTTGCTACTGCGAGTTCTTCGGCCACAACGCGGTACTGTTTACCTAATGCTCCATCTTTAATCTTTAGACATTGCTCTAATACATTATGTTTGTGTGCTCTTATTGTGTGTGAAATTATTCATCATCTTCCCCCCCTACAGCCTCCGGCTGCCCCCACCAGTCGGAACTATGCTGAGATCAGGGAGAAGCTTCGGTCCAGACTGACTCGCCGTAAAGAGGAACTTCCTCAGAGGCAGGATCTAGACTCTGCAGCACCGAGTGCCATAGACCATCGAGATGTGGATGAACTCCTGGACTTCATCAACAGCACAGAGCCCAAACCCATCAACAGTGCCAAGGCTGCTAAACGGGCACGACACAAACAGAAGAAAAAGGTACAGTGTTTTCCATTTGACTGTGTGCGATAGAGGGAATATATTGACGACGTCACTTTCCCACCGGAACAACCCCCCTCAGCCTGACTGAGTGGCAAAAGATCTGCTGCGTGACTGGATTTAATAGGAGAAACTGCGAAAATGCGACTAAAACGATCAATTTTATCAATTTAAGCTTAATGTTAGTCTAAATAAATTGTTCCTTACAACTTACTAAAGATCCAGTGATTTATGGATATTGACATGCAGCCAGGAATCGTGTTGCCTGACATTTATGTTTGTCTGATTTCGACACCGGGGAAATAAAAGCAATATAGACCTAAACATGAAGCAAATTTGCCTGTGAACGCTTTATTTAAATGCAATATAGGTAGGTCTAAATCCGGGTGATCACTTATATCAGTGTTATATATAACCTATATACTGTATATCATAATATATCGTCCAGCCTTAAAACTTTATAGTTTTTTTTTTTTTTTTTGGTCAGTGTTTATTAAAAAACATCCAATAATGCAGAATATGCAATGATAAATATTTAATTGATGTTGTTATTATATATAACAATACAAAATATATGGGTATGGCTTTACACCTAAATTCAGCATGATTCCGGTTGATCCATTTGCTCCTCTTTCTATAGCAGTCTGTAAAAATATACCTCTGATTTTTTGTCAAATCTAGCTGTACAGTCAATCGCAAAGCTCTTTCCCACTTTATATGTGTTGTGTTTGTTTTTCGCGACATTCACGCTAAAAACAAATACAGCCGCTCAGTCTTTTTGCCACTCACTGTGAGTAACTGCAGGCACTCCAGCCGACGGTGACGTCACGCGCATACCCTCTATATAGACACTTTAAACTGCAGTAATGGTTGTTTGAATATTTTTGAATATCATGCAAAAGTTAATTTATTTCAGTAATTCAACTTAAAATGTGAAACTTATATATTATATTGACTCATTACATGCAAAGTGAGATATTTCAAGTCTTTATTTGTTATAATTTTGATGATTATGGCATACAACTTATGAAAACCTCAAATTCAAAATTAGAATATTGTGAAAAGATTTTCATAAGCTGTAAGCCATAATCATCACAATGATAACAAATAAAGGCTTGAAATATCTCACTTTGCATGTAATGAGTCTATATAATATATTAGTTTCACATTTTAAGTTGAATTACTGAAATAAATGAACTTTTGCACGATATTCTAATTTTTCGAGTTTAACCTGTATGTTGATATGCTATTCCAAACATTCCTAAATATGCTAATGAATATAACTAATTGTAAATAAATGTATATATAAATGCACCTTTTTCTTTTGACAATTCAGATTTCCCATCACAGAAATAAATAGCATTTTAATATATAAAACTATAACAATTTTGTTTGAACAGTGTGTTTGTGTGTGCGCTCGCACATGCATGCTTGGATAATATGCTTAAAAATATTATTATTTTGAATTTCATTACTGATAAGCCACTGATTTCTAACAGGCTTCTGTTTCCAGATTGCACCTTTGAAGCTTTGGCTTTTTTGATTTCCAGAAATAGTTTTTTTGAAGCCAACTTGCTGGTTGTTGTCTTTATGCAAATGCAGCATTTACTCTTCCAACATTCTTTAAAAAAAAATACAATTGTGAATGATTTTATCAACAATTTTGAACAGGAGAAGGAGAGGGCTCTTCAGGGCAGCGTTGAGGCCGCCAGCAGTGAACCCCGTTCGGCATCTCCCCCTGATCCCATAGAAGATTCGACTCGAGATGGGGAAGCAAACAGACTGTTGGAGTGGCCTCAGCTGGAGCTGGAGCGAGTTAACAGTTTCCTCACCAGTCGCCTGGAGGAGATCAAAAACACCATAAAAGACTCCATCCGTGCCTCCTTCAGCATGTACGACCTCAACCTGGACGTCAACGACTTCCCGAAGAAGGCCGCGACACTGGAAGGAAACCATCTGCTGTCTCACCTCAATGGATCTTCTGATCTGCAGCAGATAGACTTGGATCTGGCACCGCTCTCGTTGAGGAACTTCAAGAGGGACCTCGACATAGTGAACGGTTGGGAGGACACCACCACTGCAGCCAAAGACATCCAGAGGCTCCACTCCACACCCAGTCTTTCCAAACTCATCCGTGTTCAGTCACCAGAACGAAGCCCAGCCATGGGGTCAGAGTCCCTCCAGCCTGGCACCGTGTCTGCTGCCAAACCCAACGATGCAGTTCCTGAAACCAAGACCTCAACTGCAGCCGGATCCAAGACAAAGAAGGGTAAGAAGCCTCAGAATCAGCGGCAGCAGGACCAGGCGACTCAAGAGCAGGCGACCAATACGAAAGCAGCGAAAACTGAGGTGCACAAAGCACAGGAAACAAGGGCAGCTGATTCAGATAAGAACACCAAAGGTGGCTCCAAACAGAACCACCAGACTCAGCAGCACACAGACTCCCAGAAAACAGGAAATAAGAGAGCAGAAGAGGTCAAAGCTTGGAAGCAGTCATCCAACGGAGCTTCAAACGGTCACCATCATAATACAGGGTCTAACACGCAGAGGGGGAAGAACGAACTCTCGGACGCACGGGACGTGGACTCTAAAAACACCTCCAACACTCACAGTTCACAGCAGCAAGCACAGCAACCGAAGGGAAAGACTAAAAATAAGAACAAAAACAAGACGGAAAAGTCAAGTGCAATCGGTAAGTGACATTTGGGAAAGTTGGTCTGATCTTCTCATATTTTCTCGACAATTTTCAGCTCTTCATTACTTTTCACCCCCTTTATCCCTGATAGATGATGTGTTCCTTCCCAAAGATGTTGACCCTACGGAAATGGATGAGATCGATCGTGAGGTTGAGTATTTCAAGAGGTAAAACCCAGTCATTACCAAAGACCAATTGCTCTGTTTTTTTAGCTGTGTTTCTTTAGACAAGCAGCGTGTTTATTATTATTGCTTAAATTTAGGATACAATACAGAAGTTTTGTTTAGTTACATTTTATATTAATAATTTTTATAAGTATAAATCTGCTCTAATATGGTGATCACAGAAGGTACACTATAGTCCAAAAGCATTTTTTAAAGAAATTAATACGTTTATTCAGCAAGGATGTATTAAATTGATGAAAAGTGACAGTAAAAAATAATAAATGCTGTTCTTTTAAACTTCCTATTTATCAAAAAAAAAAAATTACATTAACAGAGAAAACAGTTATTTTAAATTTTTATAATTAGGGCTATCAGACGATTAATCGCATCCAAAATAAAAGTTTGTGTTTACGTAATATATGTGGGTGTACTGTGTATAATTATTTTGTATATATATATAAATAAAACACATGCATGTATATTTAAGAAAAAAATATTATTTATATATGAAGTATTTATATTTATATATAATAAATTTCTTAAATATATACAAGCATGTGTGTGTATTTATATATATATATAAATAATATACACCGTGCACACATATATTATGTAAACACAAACTTTTATTTTGGATGCGATTAACACATGCATGACAGCCCTAGTTATAATATTTCACAATATTACTGTTTTATGCCAATTAGAACATATCGGATGCTTAATATACAGTTATGCAAAATGGGATTTTTTTTTTTTTTTTTCCAATGAGATTTGACTGTCGCTGGGGCTACCAAGTGCAGACATAGTGACTAAAATCTAGATAGGGCAACCAAAACTTCCTGGTGCTCATTGTTAGGATATCAACTAGATTTACATGGAAAAGATATCGCTTGTCTCTTTATCGCCTCACAGGTCATTCTCGCAAACCAGAATTGTATACAAATGAAAAAGTCTCACTTGTTGCTTAACGTTCTTTTAATTTCCCCCTTTTTTCCTTAGGTTTTGCCTCGACTCTGCTAAACAAACCCGACAGAAGGTGGCGGTGAACTGGTCCAACTTCAGCCTCAAAAAGATGCCCTCAAATGCAGCTCAGTAACAGATGGGTGATGGTAAACAGATCCCCCCTCCCCTCCCAGCAAGACTGTACTAAAAACCAGTTTGGCCTTTGGTTACTGTACTTAATACTCGATAGGCCTAAGGTTGCTCCCTCTCACAGCCCTTTCTGCCTCTATGCCACGGGACCTTGATTTTTGACCACCAGTCATCAAACGTGTTTTCGTTATACCTGTTGTTCGTGGGGAATCACACTGCACCCTGACCTCAATCTGAAAACCTGCATCTTGTTATTGCAAAAGTCGCTAAAACACATTCGGGTACTGATCCAGTTCATCTATATGCTTTATGTCGTATGTACACAGTTATTTTACAATAAAAATGTTTTAAAATTTGCAACAATGGCACGGCTTGACCCATCAAGCCCCTTTCAGCTGTTCATTTTAAAAGGTACTTCTCCACTTGCAGATCACCATCATGCATTTTTGCTGACGCAACTCACCCTGCAAATATACTGTAGTCTTAGAATAGATTTTTTGATAATACAAAATTCAAATTGCTGTATCATGTCTGATAGTCATAATGGAGGTAAAAAGGCAGCAAAAGACTGTTGTGTTCACTGATGTTTTAGTTTGTAGTTTGTCCACGTGAAATACAAAGATCTGGATAGACTATACCACACCTATGTCATTTGATTTCACAGCCAACACAGTTAATTTGCACACTAAGTGAACCGTGCACACATGGACTTGGTTGTCCTTTAGAACAACGACGAGAACATCAGTGCATATGCTTACAATGTGTGACGTCTGAAACCTTTTTTTATTACTTTGGACATTTTCAAGAAAAGAAAAGGAATCAACACTAAAAAGAAATTGATTTTAAAGACCTGTATCCGTTGACTGTCACTTTTATCCACAGAATTGAAGGTTTGGGCAGATGAGCTACGTTTCCTTTGCATGATGAGTAAAACTGACAAGTGTAGGCTACTACAAACCTCTCCCGTTTCCTTCAACACTGTATGGTATGCTGTTCAAAACTGACTTTTGGCAAAAATCCCTGATTCCCAGAGCAATATCTTACGGTAGTGTCCCTGCTGATCCTCCCTTGTGGTGGTTTGGATATAGTTCTGTGCTGTGACCACGTTCTTGTTGTGAGTTTCATTTTGTAGTTGGTTCTCCGGCAGTGCACCCTTGTTTTGGCTGCATGACCTCATTGCAGTAGTTCTGCTCATGTAGTTTCAGTCCACTTGTGCGCGACAAGTTCAGACCTGTTTTCACTTATTTGCAATCAAGGACTTTTCATGATGATTTAGGACTCTCCACTGTGGTACGGCACTTGAAACATCTGGTTGCCCTTTCCATAGCTTTGTATGTCTGCATTGTATTTTTTACTGAGCCCCTTCTGGTAAAAATCCCAACTACGGATATGACATCATGTTGAATATTAGGGTATCTGGTTTTATGATCGTCTGAATCTCCTTTTGAAGGATTGAGATCTCTTGAGAAATGTTTTGAGTTTTTGTTTTCATATTTTTTTCCCCGACATCTTTGACTCTATCCAGGTTATATTCAACTAGAAAACATTTATCTTAAACATTTGGAATGTAGATTTATACTATACCATTAATGGCCAAGTGTATGTTGGCTTTGTTTTATTTTGTTGTTTTTTATTATTATAATTATTATTATTATTATTCACTTTTGATACTGTGAAAATCTTTCATGCCGAAAGATTAAAACATGACAGTTTTGAGAAAAAAAAAATGTGTTGTGTTTGCTTTCTAAACTTATGTTGGTAGCATGCAAATCTGTTCATATAAGAAAATGAATCAATATAATAAACAAATGAATTTGTAGTTCTAAATTAACGTTATTCACCTTGGAGTTGTTTTCAAGGTAAAGTTTATGTTAAAACAAATAAAAAAAAAACGGAGACCTTTTAAGGAGATTTTAGGCGGAATATTTGGGATTGTAATGATTAATTGTGATTGGCTAATATGTCCTTATATGTTTCAAAAAATTTTTTGGAACAACATTATGGTGAAAAATGGACGATCCGTGATACTTTCGTTTCGTTTAGTCCCTTTTAGGACACCGTACTTAACGTAACATGTACGTCACGTATCTGCTGCGCAGGAGCAGCCTAGCATACTAGCGAGGTAAACAATACTTGATGGGATATATTGTAATATTTATCTGATATTTTTACACTTAAATATCATCACTAGATTGTAATACTAAAGCTAGTAACGTCGAGCATCATGGAATCAGAAAACCGACCCAAAAAGGTGAGTTACGTACGGTACTATTCATCATTGTGTACATAAATGTGTCTTAATAAATGCTTGTTTGTGTTATGATATAAAACATATTCATATGTTAAGCTTAGCGTTACCCTGCTTTAGTGTAAATAAACACTTATACGTAGAGAATGTGTGCTTCTGAACGGCTCTCTAACGTTAAGGGATGCTGTTTGATTTGTAACTAATGTATGCAGTTTGTAATGCATGTATGTGATGCTGTGTAATTGTCAGAGAAACTACTCGGAGAAGTCTGGATCAGAGGGCTCAGAGGATGATGACTATGTGCCGTATGTTCCTGTTAAGATTAGAAAACAGCAGATGGTAAGAAATCTCTACTACAGCATGGTTATTGATTGTCATGCGAGATGTGTTTTTGTTTCCTTTGTCAACTCTGTTTGATATTTGCTATGGTTCTTGAAAAACTCTGTCTCATTCTTTTGCTGTGATCCTCAGCTCCAGAAGGTGATGCGTCTGCGTGGGAAAGGGCTCACGGAAGAGGAACAGAAAGACAGCGGTGGAGAGCAGAAAGATGAGGATGAGGGTCTGGGCCCCCGATCCAATGTCAGTCTGCTGGACCAGCACCAACACCTCAAGGAGAAAGCTGAAGGTCTTTACACCCTCCCCTGTGCTTTATTACTTGTTTACAGTTTAATGCTGTGGTTCTATCTATCTATCTATCTATCTATCTATCTATCTATCTATCTATCTATCTATCTATCTATCTATCTATCTATCTATCTATCTATCTATCTATCTATCACTCTCTCTCTCTCTCTCTCTCTCTCTCTCTCATATATATATATATATATATATATATATATATATATATATATATATATATGAAGAGTTCAGATGCAAAAGCTTTTAAGTGCCATTTCAATTTTTTTATTAAGCTTGTATATATAAGTTCAGGAATTTCACTGAAATTAGAATTAATAGGTAATCTTCATTGCCATTTATGTGAAATCACTGAACTTTAATATACAGGCTTGATAAAAATTATAATTCTAGAAGAAAATTTCAAATGGCACTTAGAGACTTTTGCATCTGAATTCTTCATATAAAAAAAATCACTGACCCTAATCTTATGAACAGTAGTATATAATATCGTTACAAAAGATTTATATTTTAAATACATGCTGTTATTTTGCTCAAAATGTTTTATTCATTAAAGAATCCTGGAAAAAAAAGTATTACAGGTTATAAAAAAATATTAACACCTCTTTCAATTATTGATGACAAATTACCATATTATAATGGTTTCTAAAAAAAATCATGTGACTGGTGCAATGGCTAATGGAAATTCAGCTTTGCAGTATATTAAAATTTAAAACCCTTACTTTAAATTGTAGTAATATTTCACAATCTTACATTTTCAGTATTTTTGGTCAAATAAATACAGACTTGATGAGCATAAGAGACTTCTTTCAAAAACATTAAAAATAGTCTTTCCAAACTTTTGACCGGTACAATATATGTGTGTATGTATGTACGGAAACAACTTTAATTGTCTTTGGTACATCAGTCATTTCTTTCTGTTGAGGACGGTGTTTAGTTTTTTAGTGAATTACTTTCATAAATGTTTTTTTTTTTTTTTTTTTCACAATCTTTATCTTGTTTAACCTGTGTGTAAAATATAATTTAAACCTGGAAACAAAGAAAAGATCTAAGATTTTTTTTTTGAAAATTAAAATGCATTATGTAAATGTATAAATATGAAAGAATATGTTTTCACTTAAATTATGCTTGTAGTACAGTATAGTTTCAAAAGGAAAAAGGAAAGACGTATATAAGCCTCTTCTTGTGTGTTCTCTGTTTCTTCCATAATGTTTGTTTATTCTCAATTCTTACATTAATAATTCTAGCTCGAAAGGAGTCTGCCAAGGAGAAGCAGTTGAAAGAGGAAGAAAAAATTCTGGAAAGTGTGGCTGAAGGCAGAGGTAAGCTAAAACAGAATAATTTGCCAGTTTCTTAAATGTATTGGAGAAGTATTTATCATCACAAACCTGCTCAATGTTTTTATCAGCTCTAATGTCTGTGAAGGAAATGGCCAAAGGAATCACATATGATGACCCAATAAAAACAAGGTGAGCTGACTTTCACTCCATTAATTTATCAAGGCATGTGTGTTTGCATTAAAGAGAAGACAACCCCAAATAATAATACCAATTTCTGATATTCACTTCAGCTGGAATGCACCCCGTTACATTCTCGCCATGCCGCCAGCACGGCACGAACGTGTACGGAAGAAGTACCATATCCTTGTTGAAGGTGAAGGCATTCCACCACCCATTAAGAGCTTCAGAGAGATGAAGCTTCCTCAGGGTAAGATCCATCTCACCTATTTTACATGCAGCCCCTCACTTGCAGCTTCACGCTAATGGCCCGCTCTTAACTCTAATGGCCTTTGCAGCCATCCTGAAAGGACTGAAGAAGAAAGGAATCGTTCACCCAACACCCATTCAGATTCAGGGAATACCAACCATGTGAGTTTCATGTGGGACTGTTCTGCTTGGGGCGATATTCAATCATTATCATACAGTGTCAGGGGGCTTAGATGGGGTTTGGCTTGGTGTTCATATAAATATTTACGTTGAATTTTAATAAAAAAAAATATTTTAATATTCTCATTTTAAAGTGTTTGTATATATATATATATATATATATATATATATATGAAGAGTTCAGATGCAAAAGCCTCTAAATGCCATTTGAAAATTTCCTTCTTTAATGATGATTTTGATCAAACTTGTATATTTAAGTTCAGTAATTTCACTTAAATGGCAATGATAATTACCTATTAATTGTTATTTAAGTGAAATTACCGAACTTAAATATACAAGTTTGATAAAAATCATCATTAAAGAAGAAAATTTCAAATGGCATTTAGAGGCTTTTGCATCTGAACTCTTCATATATATATATATATATAAAAAAATAATATATATATATATATATATATATATATATATACACACGCACACATAAATACTGTACATATGGCATAAACATTTCAAAATACTAACTATTAAATATTGTTTTATAAACTTGTTTTGGTTTGTTTGTGTAGTCTCTATGGCAGGGACATGATTGGCATTGCCTTCACCGGCTCAGGAAAAACCCTGGTTTTCACGCTGCCCATCACTATGTTTTGTCTGGAGCAGGAGAAACGGCTACCCTTCTGTAAGAGAGAGGGACCCTACGGCCTCATCATTTGCCCTTCTGTAAGCCCACTCGGTCTCTCACACATCTGCTAGAAATATGGCTGAAAAATTAAAGCCGATTACACAATATTTCAACAGTATTTTTCTTTAAATCACAAGTCAAGAGTCAGATCAGATGGCAACAGTAGGTTAATTTATATTGTACGTCTTTCTCTTCGTCTGTAGAGGGAGCTGGCGAGGCAGACACACAGTATCATTGAATACTACTGTAAACTCCTAGAGGATGAAGGGGCTCCACAGTTGCGCTGTGCGTTGTGTATTGGGGGCATGTCCGTCAAAGACCAGATGGAGGTCGTAAAGCAGTAAGTCAAATTATTTAAATTTACACCATGACATTTAAAAAGGAAGAAAAGGTCCTAAAATACCAGGGGATCATACTGGGTCTTTATTTTGATGCTGATTTAGTTAGAAATCCCTTATAAACTTATGAATGATGATGTGGGTGGTGATGGCGCAGTGGATAAGACACATGTCTTTGGTGTGAGAGACCCGGGTTCGAATCCACTGTGAGACACCAATGTGTCCCTGAGCAAGACACTTAACCCCTAACCCCTATATCTGACATGTATAGCAATTGTAAGTCGCTTTGGATAAAAGCGTCAGCTAAATGAATGTAAATGTTAATGATGTGGTTGTAGTGGGGTGCACATGATGGTGGCCACTCCTGGCAGACTGATGGACCTGCTGAACAAGAAGATGGTGAGTCTTGATATCTGCCGCTACCTGGCTCTGGATGAGGCTGACAGGATGATTGACATGGGTTTTGAGGAGGACATTAGGACTATCTTCTCTTACTTTAAGGTACTTTTTCTGCACATCTCATGATTAGGCAACCCAATTATAAAACATTTAGTCAGTAAATTCACTGC